GTTCTTTTATTCACTGTCATCGTTATTTACTGCTTAAGGTTTACCACTTATATCGTAGGTCATAAAACTATTTACACAAGAACAATGTTATCTTTTTCAAGATTGAGTTTTTGTCGAAGATATAATACATTCTAATCTCAAAGAATTCAGTATTCTGTATTCAGACGGAGAGAACATTTATGTTTGAGAAAAAAGGAATTCTTCTCAAGCAGTAAATCCCACAATGGCAGTAAATAAAAAAACTCTCGCTTTTTTCTTTATAATTTCTTACTCAACAAACAATATAACTGTTATATAATATACGTGTTATATAACAGTTACATTGTTGAATAGGAAATTACAACTAACATGTATGTTATATGTAACATTGTGTTTGCTGGGAATAGAAATTTGTAAAAACGAGTATTGTAATATAAATTGTAAATAGTACAACGAAAAGGCTAAAGTGGCGCGACCGCTATGTGGTGTTCTAGTCATATATATATTAAGCATATATATATAGGTATCATATATTTATAGGTATCATATATATATTAAGCATATTATCGTTACAAATTTATAAGATATTCCGTGCACTTCTCTTTTGCTCTAACAATCAAATTACAATAATTTATTGTAAATTAATCTAAATACGAAGAAATAAATTAGTAAAGCAAAAGAGGAATATTTCACAGATTTCATCGATTACAAGTGTCACTTTATAAATGTATATTTTTATTTTAACGTATTTTGCAAGAATTTTTAGCATGTATTTTTTCGCTTCTGACATCATTAAAAAGAGATAAACAATGCGAGGGACCAAGAATCTTAAACCGAGATCAGCTGTCTCTTTGTGTTGATCTTGATCAACGCGCAGATTGAGCCAACTATCTGATGCTGTATCTAAAAAAAAGTACTCAACACTCTGAAATAAAGAGAGCTTTCTGGATGTTTTTATTGTTTCTATTTTCACAATAAAGGGATATATTAGTATTTTTCTTTCGACACAAACTTCGTAAACTACAAAGTAGTCATACTTCATGGTTGTATGTTACATGGTTCATGTACTGTATGGTTCACATGAACATACTTGTTAGTTGTAATTTTTTATTCAACAATATATATGTTATATAACACGTGTGACCTTTTCTTAAAGTTTTTTTCCCGTAAAGGTTCCTAGCAAACACAATGTTACATGTAACATATTTGTTAGTTATAATTTCTTATTTAACAATATAACTGTCATATAGCATACATATTATATAATAGTTATATTGTTGAATAGGAAATTACAACTAACAAGTATGTCACATGTAACATTGTGTTTGCTAGGAATCCTTATGAAAAAAAAAACTATAAGAAAAAATTACTGAGAACAATATAGGAAAACTATTGAAACGCTATTGAAAAATATTGGAACATTACTACTGTATATTTATTATAATATTATTGAAAAATTATAGAAAACCTACTCGTTAATTTTATAAATAGTTTTAGTATAAGTTTTTAATAGTTAAAACAATAGTATTTTTGTTAATTGACTGTTCTCAGTAATTTTCTTATAATATTTTTTCATAAGAGAAGATAACGATTATTATTATCATTATCATCAAAATTTGTTCAACAGGTTCTTTCGTCACACGTTTCAGTATCATAGTACAGTTTTATCGAAAAAATCGATTGTGTCATTATCACGAAAGTTCGAGTACTTGAAACGTGTAACATTATCGCGTGACGTCTTGATAGAACTATGAGGAATGCGAGGATAATGCGAAACATTTTCTTTCACAGAAACATCTTTCTTCTAAAGGCATTCGTTGAAGAAAACCGGTTATCGCGTGTATAGAACAAAATCATATAGTGGTGACGCATAGCGGATATTATATCTTATAATGAGTGTGACGCATATATACATGTAGATATACAATATTTGTTGTAAATATATTACGTAAATTATATATTACGGATATTGAATATCCGTTATTTTGATAAACAACAGATTTAATTCTCATTCTCATTCGTTGCTTATGAGCCCATTGTTTGCTTGCGTGGTTGGTTTGAATGTCTCATTAATATGATTAATTTGACACGCGTCCACTTGCATGAGTACGCCTGTTTGAAGTACACGGTGACGAGAGTACGAACAAAAAGCTGCTTCCGCCGGAGTGAGACGCTTCAAACGTTCGTAACCAAAAATCGATACCCGTAATCAACGAGAAATCTATTCCAAACATTTGATCCGAATGTGGACCTGTGCGTTCAATCTCTTTGTTTTGGATACGTCGACGAGCTTGGCTGCCGGATTCCGTTCTACCTGTACGCCGTGCGTTACAGAGCGACACCGTGCGCGTGCGAGTCGCGCGACTTATCGCCGAGACGGAACAGTATTCTGCGTCATCTGCCGGCGACGGCGTGTATAAGCTGAAAAATCCGCTAGTTGCCGATAAAAGGAAATCCGCGGTAGCTGTTGGCCGGTTGTAAGGTTGAAAAGCGCAAGCCGCAAGTCGTGGAAACGTTCTCACTTGCAACGAAAAGTGCCGCGATAAAAACGGACGCTCTGCAACACGTCTGAAGCTGCGCGCAGCTGTTCTCGTTCACCAAGCTCGCCGCCTGCTAACCACGCACAGGTTCCTAACAGTACCAACTTGACCAACGCAGTAAGGCTACGTTTAGAAAGCAGCCATCTTGCAATACCTAATCAAAGATCCACGGCAAGCGGGTATCGCTGTCTGGTTTGTGACCAGTTAATATCAACACACAGTTCGTCAAATGGCTTTAAAGCGAATTAATAAGGTACGTGGAGGCTCGTCGGCGTTCGTGTCACACCACGGCACTACGAGCGTCGTTGCGTCGTGTATCCGAGTCCGTTTCGTACGCCCATAACGATCTCTCGCACGACCAGTGTGCAGCAATGTGAGCGAGCACTGAAAATCACGCCTGCCTCTTGAACACGGTCTCCTTTGTCGCTGTAAACGTCGCCGTCGCGGTCGTTGACGGCGACGATCGTACGCCTCCTACGAGCGCTTCGCGACCGCGCCATGTACAACAGAGCCGCGCTCGAACGAGTCTTTCTCGCCGCCCTGATACAACCGGGTTCGGTCGCGATGACAGTGAGAATCCACGGAATTTTGTGTGGACCTGACCTGGTAGATTGTCGGAAATAACGCGACACCGTGCGCCTGTACGCCCCCGCGTCCGTATATGTGTGCACGTACGCCGGCCTATAGATTCTTGTTTGGTGCTCTTCTTTGGTGCTCTTTTGTGCCATTACATTGTACTCCAAAACTCTGTCTCTGTGCTTTTATCTATCTTTTTAGTGGTTCAATGTAAGAATTTCACTGTGTGACCACAGAATATCTTAGTAAATAAAATAAGTGATACAGCAAATTGCTATACGAAGGCTGTCAACGATATGATTTGTCATTTATATTATTGATCATAGAATGGACTATAGTATAGAGCATTGAAGGCCACAAATTCAGTCTTAGATTCAATAAAGCTATAAAGTACAGTGGGAAGTTGCAACTTTTGTCTCATTTTCATTAATATTTTGTGATAACAAATATTTGACGGTCCTGGATTGACCGATGCTTTAGTAGTACAATGTATTATATTCTTGATATTAATATGTTTTTAATTCTTGTTATGTATGAAGATATAGATGAAGGTATCAAAGTTCTGAAGCAGCTTCATTTGAAGAACTCATCACTGTAAAACAAAATCTGATTTGATACTATATATGTATTATGAAATTATCTAGAAAGTTATACATATATGTTGTCGTATAAAGAAATGTTGGCATAGCACATGTGTGTTCAGAAATATCAAAACTCTCTATAGAATCATGGCGCAGTGTGTGTATAGAAAATGGTGCAATAGAATATATAAGAAACATTGAATAATATATCTGTTTATCTTCTATTCATCTACTTTTATCTAATTGAGAAATCTAGAATAAGATGTTAAAAGTTGTGTAATATTTTGGTTGTGTAATTCTTATGTATGATATACTACTTAATTTAATTATAATTTCAGGAACTTCAGGACCTTGGTAGAGATCCACCAGCGCAATGCTCCGCTGGGCCTGTAGGAGACGATCGTAAGTGTAAAAGTGTAAAAGTTAAATAGAAATATTTAAGATAGTATAACATAATAGTATATAAATAAATAGCATATAAATAGTATATATTCTTTCTCTAATATCCCAAGTTATAGATTACAAATTTACAGAACTGCACATATATTATTTAGAGTACAATGTTTTATTTATAGATATAATTATATTTATTATTTCTCTAAATATTCTTATCTAGAAGTATTTTAATCTATACAAAACTTACATATTGATTTGAAGGATATACTAATTATATAAAGAAAAATGATAGGAATGGCCAACTTAATCATGTAATAATGTAATAGTTATATAAATTAGATGTGTTACAGAAGTAATTTACAATTAATTTAGTATAATATCGTATTGTTTAATATCTTTTCAGTATTCCACTGGCAGGCAACTATCATGGGACCAGTAAGTGATGTATATTTATATTATATGTGATATTCTTTGTTTTATATATAGTTCTTTTAGATATTATATAATATCATAAAGAATATGTGTACTTACTGATTATTGTTACTTTGTATTTATTTTTATATTCTCATAACTTGTTGATGTAGTAAGTAAAAATAAAATCTAATAAATCTAATGAACCTTTAAGTAAAGTCTAATAAATTTAACAAAAAGTCTAAAAAACATACAAAACATTAGAAGCATAAAGTACACTAAAAGCATAAGTAAATGCTAATAATATAAATTATTTAACTATAAAACTTTTAAAACATTAGAGATTTAAATATTTTTTCAGCCTGATAGCCCGTATCAAGGAGGAGTATTCTTCTTAACAATTCACTTCCCCACAGATTACCCGTTCAAACCGCCCAAGGTATATAACATTGTGTAAACGAAATTTTTAATTTTACATTACAGAAACAGAAAACGAACAAAGTTTATGACTAATAATATATGACTGTTCATTTTTTATAGGTGGCTTTCACGACTAGAATCTACCATCCTAATATCAACAGTAACGGAAGTATTTGTTTGGATATTTTAAGATCGCAGTGGTCACCTGCACTTACTATATCAAAGGGTATGTACATCCCATTTGTATGTGATATACATTCAAAGATGTTTACTTAACAAAGCAAAGAAATGGGTATTTAATCACTTATTGATCATGTTGCAGTGTTATTGTCAATATGCTCCTTGCTGTGCGATCCAAATCCAGATGACCCATTGGTACCAGAGATAGCCAGGATATACAAAACTGACAGGGAGAAGTACAATGAATTGGCACGTGAATGGACGCGCAAGTATGCCATGTGATGCGCCAACCTCCGTTGACCTCAACACCCAGATACCACCAAGAAACAGCCCCAGCCTATTGCCACTTATGCATCAGCACCGATTGAAATTAGCTATGGCTCGTCTACTTTTAAACTTAAGCCAGTATTCGGGCTCGAGGAATCCTCAGGCAAACGTGATCGATTTGAACTTCCCCCGGCTTGGGAAGTCCGCGAATATAAAGACGTTGCCACACTACGGCAATCGAGGCAATTTTGAAGGTGGTCACCCAGCATTATATATATATATAAATCAGACAACAACCTGTCCGCTTTGATTTTCGTAAATAAAAATATGGAAGTAAAATATAGGAGAGTGAAAGTAGGATTTGTATTTGAATTTAATAGGTTGATTTCCAATTATTGCGCTTACGATAATTGTAATGTTATGGTACCTACTTTCTCAGTGAAATGAAAACCTCGAACTGACAGCACATCGATTGTTAGTCTTTAACGCAAGTGAGCAATGTTTGCCCGTCCCTTGGAACGATGTGGTCACTCTTTTGTAAGACTGGGCTATATATATAAATACTACTGAAACTGTACGTGTATGCTTTGTTCAATCATTAAAATTCCTTACACCTGTCTAACAAATTCTACGAGTAGCTCGAATCTATGCTTTGGTTCTTGTGTGTGTGCGTAGTAATTTAATTATGCATATCGTTGATCGGCAAATGACAACCGTGCCAGTTTGAGTAATCGGAATTGCGCAAACACTAGATAAAAATCTATCTAATTGTCTGATCTCCCCCCCCCCCCC